AGAAGAAAGAAGGAAAGAAAGAAAGAAAGAAAGAAAGAAAGAAAGAAAGAAAGAAAGAAAGAAAGAAAGAAAGAAAGAAAGAAAGAAAGAAAGAAAGAAGGAAAGAAAGGGAGGGAGGGAGGGAGGGAGAAAGAAGGAAGAAAAGAAGGAAGGAAGGAAGGAGGGAAGGAGGGAAGGAGGGAAGGAAGGAAATTGGTGAGAGGATGAGAGTTACAGAAAGCAGGGAAATGATACAAAAGATTAATAATCAGTAAGGCACTGGACTTCTCAAAAGTGACAGCAGGGGCTGGGCACAGTGGCTCACTCCTGCAGTCCCAGCATTTTGGGAAGCTGAGGCTGGAGGATCACTGGAGGCCAGGAGTTCAAAATCAGCATGGTGAGACACCGTCTCTAGAAAAAAATAAATAAATGGATCAATCTTTGCATTAGTGAGGATATGCTCCCAAGTTAACACAATAGAAGTTTATTTCTGCTTACAAAATAGTCCTGGATGGTTGTTCACGTAATAGGCAGGCACTCCTCTGTGAGACCCAGGCTCCTTCCACCTTGAGGCTCAGCCATACCACAGGCCCCCTCTTAATGTTTTTAGGGCCCTGGGCCCCTTTAACTATCTGGCAGACCCCTTCTGAGAATATGTTAAATCCATAAAACAAAGCACATAGTACTACAAAGCAAAACATTATATGGACATGTAACTATCAAAATAAATTAAGACCACTGTGATATAGTAATAAGTGTGTTTCTGTATTAATTAAATAGTAACACAATACATTTAAAACATAGGTGAGTTAAAGCTACATTTATTTTTTAAAGACTTATCATTGTGAAGACTGACTACACTTATGGTCTGCACACCTCTCAGTATTGAAGAGGGTTAAGAACTCTTATCTGATGGCCAGGCACAGTGGCTCATGCCTGTCATCCCAGCACTGTAGGAGGCTGAGTTGGGCAGATCATGAGGTCAGGAGTTCAAGACCAGACCAGCCTGGCCAACATGGTGAAACCCCATCTCTACTAAAAATACAAAAATTAGCCGGGCATGGTGGCGTGGCTGAGGCAGGAGAATTGCTTGAATTCAGGAGGTGGAGGTTGCAGTGAGCCGAAATCGCACCACTGCACTCCAGCCTGGGCAATAGAGAGAGACTCCTCTAGGAAAAAAAAAAAAAAAAATTCTTATCTGAATCATCCAGCTTTGCAAACCTTTAACAAACAATGCACCTACCTCCACATATTAATTGACCAACAATCGGAGGCAAGGACTACTGGAAAGCAACATAGACTGTGAGCACATGTGGCTTCCACGTTTGGTGGTGGAATGCCTCCCCTGCTCAGCGTCGGCCAGTTGTGTTGCACAGCTGTCTATCAACAGGAAGGCTGCAATTATGTGCAGTCTAGTGGCAGGTCTAATAACTGCTGCGGTTTCCAAGCGGTGATGAATGTAATGATATTTTGAGATATCTGCAACAACTATAATGTGATATGAAAAGATGTGTGATTTCTACCAGTGACAAAGTCACAGATACTGCTACTACCACTGTGGTTTATTGTCTACATTTATAATAGAAAGAAATGCTCAACTAGTTTAAGGTTAGGAAAAATAAAGATGTACTTTTCCCATCCAAGTTCATAGGTTTCCCTGAATTTAGGGTCGTGGATCACAGGTTAGGCTGCTTGCTCTGGAGCCTTCTTGTCATATGTGCAGCCAGCCAGTAAAACAGGAAAGAGCACGTAGAACTGCACAGATGAAGTCTTTATGGACCAGTTCTAAAATCGACACATATCATTTCCATTCACGTTCCACTGGAGAAAAGTTAGCGCTGTGACTACACCTCCCTACAAGGAAAGCTGAGAAATATAACCTTACCTTCGTGCTCAGGAAAAGAAATAACAGATTTGGATACCGAGCCAGCAGTGTCTCCCACAGTCAGTGGTGTGTGTAGCCTTCTTGCCACACATAGAACCCATTCAATCCCCTTCCAAGGGAGTCAAAGCCAAACCCCATATAGCTTCTGCATTCAGCTCAATGTCCGGAACTTCTAGGTGATGTACAGTCTTTTCCAACAAGTCTGATGAATTTCTCTTGGTCCACAGGCTTATGAACTACGCTCTACTCCCCACCCCTGCACACACCCAATATACAGGATAATTGTAGCTGAGATTGGGAGACGTGGGCAGTGCCTGGTTCATAACAATGATGGAAGCCTGCCAAACAAGCATTGTGAAGACCCTCTGTCCTGGCAATAGAGGGAGTTATTGTATTAGACCCTGTATCCTTTCTCTGGGAGGAGTCCCCTTGTCTTCCATGGCCCCTGCTCTGCCCTCTGGGAAATTCCCCCTTGTCCATTATCTCCTGTGGCCAGATATCACAGATATTAGTTGTATCACCCTTTTGAGGGTTCCCAAAGCTTTCACAGCACTTTTGGCTCATGGAAGCTTGGGGGTCCACATGTTTTTCTGAACTTTTTAAAGGCCGTCTTTATGATTTCTTCAGAAATTCAATTTCTTCCTGCAAATTGATTTCTGATCCATTTGCTTCCTATTGGTTACTTGTACGACTTACCACTTCCAAATTCCCTATACATGATTCTTAAATCTATTTGGGTTCTTTCTTGCTTTTTTAGCTCCATATCAATCTCCATTTATCAAATATCAGCTACAGTAAGGCCCTCTGTAGCAAGAGGATTATTAGAGAAACAATATCCTTAACCTGATTTTTGATGCAAAAATAAGTCCTTTGGTTTAACTGAGAAGATTTCATCAGTCTTTGTGGCTCAAATACTTATTCAGTGTCACCACCTCCTCTGTGGGATATGGAACCCTTGATCTCTGCTTACAAACAGCTCAGTTCTTTCCTGAGGTCATCTTTTCCTGGTGAAAAGAGAAGGAACCTGCTAAGTGAATTAAGTAACTGGCAGCAAACCCCACCTGCCTTTTTCCAACCTTTTCCACTAAAGGTAGAGACCCTGTAGGAGATTAAATGTTCTCAGGTAGCAGTTCACTAAATGCTCTCCTCCCAGATCAAAAGGCATATCTGTTTATATCTGTTTTCTCACCACCTTTTCCTAGCCAATGCCATTTATTTTAATTTTTTATTAATCACCCTACTTCTAGAATCAATTTCTGTGCTAGAGTACAGTTAGGCTGCTAACAAATATACCTCAAAATTTCAGTGGCTTAAAACAATAGTTGTGTATTTTTAGCCCACATGTATTACTAGGTGGGCTGTTCTATGTGTGGTCATTTAAGAACTGATGCTCCTTGCATCTCATGGCTCTGCAAATCCCTAAAACTTCATTTTCATTGCATTGCCAGAAGAGAGAAAGTATGGAGGAAAAACTCAGGAAGTTTTGAATGGGTTAAGTCCGGAGTTTTAAAATTTCCATTAAAGGAAACTTGATCACATGGCCAAGTTTTATTGCAAGGGAAGCTGGGAAGTATAGTCTGTGTGCCCAAGATTTTGGTGGACAGCTGGTAGTGTCCGCATGGTTATTTCCAACCTAGACTTTTATACCCAGCCAATTTATGAATCACATATAAGGGTGGTCAAAAGACATTTCAGATATGTAAAGTCTAAAAAGCATATCTTTCATTAACCCCTTCTCAGAAAGCTATTAGAGGATGTGCTACACCAAAAAGAGGAATTAAGCCAAAAAAGAAGACAACATGCAGAACAGAAATCAGGGAACAACAATTGTGTAGATCCAGAGCGCCTTCAGTCCCTATTACAGCAGAAGCTTGGAGAGAAGTTTGGAGCTTTCTCCAAGAAAAAAGAAAAGTAGAACTCATAACTTATATGACAGTGTGACAGAGTGGAAAATTATAATAAGGTACATTTTGTAGTAAGTTGTTGAAGAATAAAGAGATTTTAGTCAGAATATCAAAGAAAACTAATTCAGTCATAAAATGAGATAATTACTGAATCTAGCAAAATAAACAATTTATAACAAAAGAGATTTAATTACAAAACACTGTGTAGCCCAGCAGTGAACAATCTTTACATAATCATTAAGTCGAAAACAGTGATAATGGGCTTAACTAAAAATTGAGATGTAATTAAAAGAGGTTTAGAAAAGGAGTGTAAATAAACTCATCATAATAAGATATATATTAGTCAGGACGGGCTAAGTTATTCAATAGTAACAACTCTAAAATCTAAACAGCAAAATATGCTTCTGTCACAACGCTGCTCACATGGATCCTCAGGGGCTTTGCTCCATGTGATGATTCAGGGATTCAGTCAGCAGCTCCACCAGTTTATAGCTATACCATCTGGAACACATGGCATCCTTGATCCCATGGCAGGACACAGAGAATGGAAAAGGATGCACGAGTTTTTATCATCTCTCCTCTTATAATTTCATTTGCCAAAAACAGTCACCTGTTCCCGTTGAACAGGCGGGGACTTGGCAGTGCAGTCTTCCACGTGCTCTGAAGAGAAGGACTGGTAATATTTGCCAAGGGACGTTTACAAAATCATCTAAAATGAATAAATCAAGAGACAGCATTATATACACATTCCTTTAAAATATGGAAGTAAGTACCAGAACATGTTGAAAAGCTAAAAGAAAAAAGTGAAAAAGGTTGAAAATGTTTCTGGTGAGCCTGGCAAGTAACCAGCATGGGGAGTGAAGCAGGCCAGGGAACAGGAGACGGCTGGGTTTGGCTGTAAGCGTTTTTATCATCATTTCACTTTTAAAACTGTCTGCATGTAGTGTTTTTATTAAGTTGTATGTAACTTATTTTTTAAGTTACTTGAAAAATAAAAACTGGAGCTAGGAAGACTGTCGTGGACATACCCCCAGTAACCCCATCTGCGGTCGTAATTGAGGTCACCCTTTGATGACAAGTCAGCAGTTTGCAGAATTTCCACCCTCCCTTGGTCAAGCTCCTTCCCACGTTCCCAGAGACTTGAATTTGCTTAGAGCACCTAGGCACCGTCTTACAGTCTCTTGCCCTTCTCGATTCTCTCGTACTAATGTTTACCTTACATGCCTCAATCCAAAGAGCCTTCTCCTTGTGAAGACAAATGCAAAACACCAGTTGAAAAGCTTCTGCTCTCCTTATTAGCTATTAGTAAAACCCCACTGATCCGAGGCTTTTCCACTTGTTCTAACAATTTCTTCTATTTCACTTCCTTTTTGAAAACTTTGGTTAAGCTAGGGATCTGACCTGCGAGCACTCTGTTTCCTCCTTAATGTCCTTTGTTAAGCACTCTTCTTACCAAGGTTTATAGACATCCTTTGACCATCACAGCGTTCCAGCAATCTTGCTATGCCAGTCCTTTTGACGTCTCCTCCTGCCCCTCTTCCATGCACAATGGCCAGAGAGAGTTTCAATGATGTGCATGTCATGGTGGTATCCTTGATAACTCTCCTTTGTCTCTTTAGCAAAATAGGGTAGGCCCTTTACAGCCTGTCTCTACCCACTTTCCATCGGCCTGGCTGCCTGGCCCAGCCTCCCTGTGCTCCAGCCACCAGGATTCTCGGGCCATTTTGGCTCCTGTGGGGCTCCCTGCCTGGAATGCCCTTCCCCTCCCTGCTGGATGCGTCTTTCAGATCCAGAAGGCTCCCCAGACTCCCAGCAGCTTCAGGGTCAGGGAAAGGGGCCCAATAAAATGGGCAGTGTGAGTTCAACACTCTCTTAGTAATTCTAACATTGAGAAACTTACTCAGCTTCTCAGAGCCTCCGTTTTTCAGCTAATGCATTAGGATCGGTCTGAATTATCTTTAACATCTTTTTCAGGTCTAACACTTCTCCTTCCCACCCCCGCCACAAAAATTACACCAAATTGGAATTGAATGTTGGTTCGTTTGAGGCAGGGTCTCACTCTGTCACCCAGGCTGGAGTGCAGTAGTGGATCATGGCTCACTGCAGCCCCAACCTCCTGGGCTCAATCAATCCTCCCATGTCAGCCTCCCAAGTAGCAGAACTACAGGCATGCACCACCACACTCAGCTAATTTTTGTAGATACAGGGTTTCACAGTATTGCCTGGGCTGGTCTTGAACTCCTGCCCTCAACTAATCCACTCACCTTAGCTTCCCAAAGTGCTGGGATTACAGATGTGAGTCACTACACCCAGCTGGAATTTAATTTTTAAGAGCACAGATTCTGAATGGGTGTGGTGGCTTATGCCTGTACTCCCAGCACTTTGGGAGGCCAAGGTAGGTGGATCTCTAGGTCAAGAGTTCAAGACCAGCCTGGCTAAGATGGTGACATGCCATTTCTACTAAAAATACAAAAATTAGCAGGGCATGGTGGCAAGCGCCTGTAATCTCAGCTACTCAGAAGGCTGAGGCAGAGAACTGCTTGAACCTGGGAGGCAGAGGTTGCAGTGAGCAAAGATCCCACCACTGCACTCCAGCCTGGGCAACAGAGTAAGACTCCGTCTAAAACAAACAAACAAAAAAGCACAGATTCTGAAGCTAGAGCCAAATTGCCTGGGTTCAAATCCCAGTTCTACCACTTACTAGCTATATGACCTTGAGCAAGTTACTAAGCCTCCGTATTTAATAGGAGGTAGTAATAGTCATTGTCTCTTAAGATTGTTGAGAGAATTAAGTGATACATACACATATGTTGCGATGCATATAAAGTCCTTATAGTAGCTCTAATAAGCTCTTACTGTTGTCATTATTCTACACTGCCAAACTGAGTAATTGGAGGAACAAGGCCATATCTCCTTCTTTGCTAAACCCCCAGTGTCTGGGACTTTGCCCAGCATGGAAAACAACAACTTCCATTTTTTCCCCAGTGAAAGAAGGAGAGAATTGGGAGAAGCCTGCATTGCATCCTATGAGTCAGGCTTCAAGAGCTCTCCCCAGACTCCTCCTAGACTGTCTTACTGTCTTCCCTTTCTTTTTTTTTTTTTTTTTTTTTTTT